CTATTGTTATGCCCACTGCTTACTTCGTTTGCAAATTTCCAAGATACCATACTATTAAGCTGTGATGAACTAACCCTTGCGGAAGTATATGAGGCCCTCTAGACAAGGGAGAAGATGAAAGGTATGGTTCAGTCTGATGTGTCGTCCTCCAAGGGCGAACTGTTGCAGGTTAGAGGCAGGCCCGAGCAGAAAATCTACAACAACAACAATAATCGAGACAAGAGCAAGAACAGTAAAGACCGTTCCAAGTCCAGAGGCAGGGATAAGTTCTGTAGATATTGTAAGAAAGATACCCATGTCATTGAGGATTGGTGGAAGCTGCAGAATAAGGAGAAAAGAAACAGTACGTATAAACCAAAAAACAAATCCGATGATGATGGTAAAACCTCTGTTGTCTCCGCTGTTGATACTTCTGATTCAGGAGACGTTCTTGTTGTCTTTGCTGGTTGTGTTGCTGGTCGTGATGAATGGATACTTGATTCTGCATGCTCGTTTCATTTATGCTCTAACAGAGATTGGTTCAGTTCTTACGAGTCTGTGCAAAGTGGAGATGTCGTGCGTATAGGAGATAACAACCCACGTGAGATCATGGGCATTAGCTCCGTTCAGATCAAGATGCATGATGGCATGATACGCACACTGAAAGATGTGAGACACATACCAGAGATGGCCAAAAATCTCATCTCCCTCAGCACACTTGATGCCAAGGGGTACAGACACTCCGGTTTTGGTGGAGTGTGTAAGGTATCAAAAGGCTCTCTCATTCATATGATAGGTGATATGAATTCTACAAAGCTATATGTTCTTAGAGTAAGTACTTTACATGGTTCCATCACTGCTGCTACTGTTTCTAATAATGAACCAAGTAAAACTAATCTCTAGCATATGCGTCTTGGGCATATGAGTGAACTTGGTATAACAAAATTGATCGAGAGAGACCTGCTGGATGGTTGCACTGTGGGTAAGATGAAGTTCTGTGAGCACTGTATTTTTTATAAGCATAAGAGGGTAAAATTTAATGCATCTGTTCATACCACCAAAGGTACACTTGATTATGTACATGCTGATTTGTGGGGGCCGTCTCATAAGCCCTCTTATGGTGGTGCTCGTTACATGCTTACCATTATTGATGATTACTCTAGAAAAGTGTAGCCTTATTTTCTAAAAAATAAAGATGATACTGCTTTTAAAGAGTGGAAGTTATGATAGAAAGGCAAACTGAAAAGAAGGTAAAATTGCTTCGTACTGACAATGGTGGTGAATTATGTTCGGATGCTTTTAATGATTATTGCAGGGAAGAAGGCATTGTCAGGCACTACACCATCCTGTACACTCCTCAGCAGAATGGTGTGGCTGAGTGCATGAACCGAACCATCATCTCGAGGGCTCATTGCATGCTGTCCAATGCTCGTATAAACAGACGTTTTTGGGCTAGGGCTGCTAACACCGCCTGTTACTTGATCAACTGGTCACCTTCTATCCCACTTAATAAGGAAACTCCCATTGAGGTATGGTTCGGTATGCCTGCTGATTATTCACAGTTGGGAGTTTTTGGTTACACAGCTTATGCTCATGTTGATAATGGAAAGCTAGAACCTAGAGCCATTAAGTGTCTATTTCTTGGTTATGGTTCTAGAGTTAAAGGATATAAGTTATGGAATCCTAAAACTAAAAAGACTTTCATGAGTAGGAACGTTGTTTACAATGAATCTGTTATGTTTAATGACAGCTTGTCCATAGATGTTTCACCAGTTGGTTCTGATGAGGAGCAGGAACATGTTAGCGTGCAGGTGGAGCACGTAGATGATCAGGAAACTGAAATGGTTAATAACAATATTCATGATATTGTTCAGCACTCACCTCCTGTTTTGCAGCCTCAAAATCAGTCTATTGCAAATCGCAGAACAAAAAGGAGTTGTGGACCTCATCCACATTTAATTGAGGAATATGATATTGTTCATTATGCCTTTAGTTGTGCTGAACAGGTTGAAAACATTCATGAGCCGGCTACGTACACTGAAGCTATTGTTTCTGGTGATCGCGAGAAGTGGATTTCCGCTATGCAAGAAGAGATACAGTCACTTAAGAAAAATGGCACATGGGATGTTGTGCGCTTGCCTAAACACAAGAAGGCCATTCGTTGCAAATGGATCTTCAAAAGAAAGAAGGGTTTGTATCCTAGTGAGCCTCCAAAATTTAAGGCAAGGTTAGTAGCAAAAGGTTTTAGTCAGATTCCTAACATTGATTATAATGATGTGTTCTCTCCAGTTGTAAAGCATAGTTTAATTCGTACATTTTTCGGTATTGTTGCTATGCAAGATCTCGAGCTTGAGCAGTTAGATGTAAAGACTGCGTTTCTACATGGAGAGCTCGAGGAGATATACATGGACCAGCCAGAAGGGTTCATAGTACCTGGTAAGGAGGATCATGTTTACAAATTAAAGAGGTCCTTATATGGTTTGAAACAGTCTCATCGTCAATGATATAAACGGTTTGATTCTTTTGTAATGTCACATGGTTTTAAGAGGTCTGAATTTGATAGCTGTGTGTACATTAAATTTGTTGATGGATCACCTATATATTTGCTGTTATATGTTGATGATATGTTGATTGCTACCAAGTGCAAGAAAGAAATCACTACGTTTAAGAAACTGTTGAGTAGTGAGTTTGAGATGAAGGATTTTGGTGCTGCTAAGAAGATTCTAGGTATGGAAATTACAAGAGACAGGAATTCTGGTTTGTTATTTCTTAGTCAGCAAAGTTACATTAAGAAAGTTCTTCATCGTTTCAACATGCATGATGCAAAGTCTGTTAGTACTCCTATTGCTCCTCATTTCAAATTATCAGCTTTACAATGTGCTAGTATGGATGAGGATTTTGAGTACATGTCAAGAGTTTCATATTCTATTGTTGTTGGTTCTTTGATGTATGCCATGGTTTGCTCTCGTCCTGATTTATCATATGCTATGAGTTTGGTTAGTAGACACATGGCTAATCCTAGTAAAGAACATTGGAAAGCTATTCATTGGATTTTCAGGTACCTTCGTTGCACAACAAATGCTTGTTTGAAGTTTGACAGGACTGATAAGAGACTCACTGGCTACGTGGATTTAGATTTTGCTGCTGATTTGGATAAGAGAAGATCTCTCACAGGTTATGTGTTTATTATTGGTGGTTGTGCTGTGAGTTGGAGGACAACATTGTAGCCCGTTGTTGCCCTATCTACCACTGAAGCAGAATACATGGCATTGCTGAAGCATGTAAAAAATCAGTTTGGTTGAAAGGTTTATTTGCTGAGCTTTGTGGAGATGATTCTTGCATTAATTTATTTTGTGACCGTCAAAGTGCTATATGTCTCACTAAAGATCAGATGTTTCATGAGAGAACGAAGCACATTGATGTCAAATACCATTATGTTCGCGATGTGGTCGCGCTAAGGTAAGTTGAAGGTATGCAAGATAAGCACACATGATAATCCTGCTGATATGTTGACAAAGCCAGTTCCTGTTGCTAAGTTTGAGCTTTGCTCAAGCTTAGTTGGTATAACTATTTAGCCCAAGAGGCTATTTGGTACCGGGAGTATTTATTTGTTGTTTTATGATGAAGGTTCATTTTATGCTATAAGAAGAAATTTGTCTCAAGGTAGAGTTTATTGAGCTATGATCCAAATTCAAGCTTAGGCCAAAGCGAAGCGGCCCATTAGCGTTAAGAGAGATTACACCATCTATTAGTTCCGTATTGCTAATAGAAGAGGGTGTGGTGGTTTTTTCTCCCTATATATATGGTCCACCTCCCTCATGGAAAAGATGTATCATAGACTTCTATACGGGAAGGCCCCAGGTTAGGGTATCCCAAGTTGTAAATCTCCGACATTTGTAACCTCATCCGATATAGTGAAGATTTGCTGATTGGTGCCTGTGGTTTTTTTTCTTTCACCCTGAGAGGGTTTTGCACGTTAAAATTTCGTGTCTCCAGTGCTTGATCTACTGTTCTTCGTCGTTTATATTGTCGTTTATAACACAACCATGCATCATCGGTCATGTCATCATGTGTCTTACCGTGCCCTCTGTCCTCTCCCTAAGGCGATGCTGATTTGAGCTTCACGAGCTGAGTGCCCGCCAGCCATGCATGCAAGACATCATGCATGGCACACCCTAGCAGCTCGCCATAGGACTAGCTAGCTATGGGATGACGATCTGAGCTCCATCCAGGACCATGTGCAGCAGCGCGCGACAGATGAAGATGACAATTGCTAGCCTGGTCATCCATCGTCCACACAAAATATCTTTGCTGCCTGTCAAAGCAACAAGGAGGAAACTCAAGATGTACACTGATAATTTGGCTTATGCTGAAATTTAATTTATGCTAAAATATTGTGAGAGAAAAACACTATGTTTTATGACTAAAAAGTAGCTCAAGCGAACAGGTTGAATAACTGACTGGCCTGCAGGGGATGAATCTTCATACATACTCCAGTACATAGCTCGCTCGCTGGTCATTTGGTCAACAGCGCTGCAGCATCCGTCGTCAAACACAAGCTAAATACCTGCTACCCGTCCCGTGTATCATCAAAAATTAACAAACGTACCTGTCAGGCAGCAGCGTATATGTGTTGGAACAAGAAATGGATGGAAGAGTCCGTGAGAAAGTAAAAGGGAAAGATACGTGCTACTGCTATCCGTTGAATAGCAATAAACACGGGCTTAGCTGTTACCTACCCGTTGATACAGCGGAGGCCAAACGTGTAAAGCAGCTAGTTTTTTTCTTTAAGACGGTGTAAAGCAGCTAGTTAGCAAGGCAGACAGCCATCCACGCGTCCGAAGCTGCTTGGCTCTCGCGCGCTATAAATCCGACCCAAGACCACCCCGTCGTCCACAGACACAGACACAACAGAGACTACTCTCGGGCACTACCAACAGCTGCTCTAGAGAGAGAGAGTCAGAGAGCAACACACAGCAGAGAGCTAGCTAGCAGGCGAACTTGTTGCAGGAGCAGCAGCCATGGCGGCGACGCGTCGCCTCTCGTCATCCTACCTTCTCCTCGCCGTGCTTCTGGGCGCAGTGGCTGCCGCCACCGCCTTCTTCGTCGACGAAGCGGCGGCTGCCGGCGTCGGGCTTGGCCACGGCGCCCGCTTCGCGCGCAAGCATGGACGTGCTGCCGCCGAGCTGCCGCAGCCGGAGCCACAACCCAAACCTCAACCTGAGCCGGAACCCCTGCCCCAGCCAGAACCCAAACCCGAACCTAAACCGGAGCCCAAGCCACGTCCAGAGCCTAAACCTGAGCCATTACCTCATCCTGAACCAAAACCTGAGCCTCGTCCAGAGCCTTTGCCAAAACCTGAGACACACCCTAAGCCAACGCCCAAACCAGAGCCAAAGCCCAAACCAGAACCGGTGCCCCAGCCTAAGCCTGAACCAAAGCCCAAGCCGGAGAAGCCTGAGCCTAGACCAGAACCAAAACCTGAACCAGTGCCGAAACCAGAGCCTAAGCCTGAGCCCAAGCCGGAACCAAAACCCGAGCCTAAGCCTAAGCCCAAGCCGGAACCACTGCCGAAACCAGAGCCTAAGCCTGAGCCCAAGCCGGAACCAAAACCCGAGCCTAAGCCTGAGCCCAAGCCGGAACCACTGCCGAAACCAGAGCCTAAGCCTGAGCCCAAGCTGGAACCAAAACCCGAGCCTAAGCCTGAGCCCAAGCCGGAACCAATGCCCAAACCAGAGCCTAAGCCTGAGCCCAAGCCGGAACCAAAACCCGAACCACTGCCTAAGCCTGAGCCCAAGCCGGAACCAAAACCCGAACCACTGCCGAAACCAGAGCCTAAACCTGAGCCCAAGCCAGAACCACTGCCCAAACCAGAGCCTAAGCCTGAGCCCAAGCCGGAACCAAAACCCGAACCACTGCCTAAGCCTGAGCCCAAGCCGGAACCAAAACCCGAACCACTTCCCAAACCAGAGCCTAAGCCTAAACCGAAGCCAGAGCCCAAGCCTGAACCAAAACCTAAACCAGAGCCCAAGCCTGAACCGAAACCGGAGCCTAAGCCTGAACCGAAGCCCGAGCCAAAACCGAAACCAGAACCCAAACCAAAGCCAAAGCCTGAACCGAAGCCGGAGCCTAAGCCCGAACCAAAGCCAGAGCCCAAACCAAAACTGGAACCTAAGCCAGAACCAAAGCCAGAGCCTCAACCGAAACCGGAGCCTAAGCCGGAACCAAAACCAGAGCCTGAGCCCAAACCAAAGCCTGACCCGCCGCACATCCCACCGGCAGCTGACAACTGATGAAGAGTCCTCTAGCCATTATAGTAGTATCTGAATAAAATGCCCCATGAGTTCGTAGTTGTAGCATGCATTTGTAGGTGCTAGCTGCTACTTGTTGTACCTATTCTTTCTGTGTTTGCGTCATTTTTTTTATGTAATGCTGATTACATGATTTTTAGTGCAGTATAGTTTGTTTCTTGTATATGCGTTTATGCACTCGATCGTGACTTTTTGCTATATGTTCATTGTTATGTATACATGTTCGTTGTTTTTTGGGGGGCAGCTGACTGACAGAACCCGTTGTTGCAGTACGCAAAATATAATTAAATACAAATTTCATCCTGGTTTATACTACACAAAAGTAAAATGGTGAAAAAAGGAACAAACGAAATGTGTGCTTCATAAAGAGCTAGGACCCATTGCGTCCCTTGCTTTTTCTCTCTTTGCTAGCCAGTCATAAAGTCAGCCTCACTCAGTCTATGCATTTGATTTTTTTCACTTTGAAAACATGACCAATACACACTACTACATCAATCGTTTCTAGGGACGACTGGTGAGGCTTTGTAGAGGCGGCTCAGTCAGTCGCCCCTACCATACCTGTCTTTACAAATCTTGTATTTATAGGGGCGATTCCCAGACCGCCCTTATAAATCGATTTGTAAGAGCAGCTGGTGTTAGCAGTCGTCCCTACATATCGATTTATAGGGGCGGCTGGTAACATCAGCTACCTCTATAAAATCGATTTGTAGGGACGGCTGTAGTACCAGCCACCCCTATAATACCTATTTGTAGGGGCGGTTCAGTTTAGAACCGCCCCTACAATATATTTTTCCGCAAAAAAAATTCAAATTTACAATTCAAATTTTGATATATATATATATATATATATATAATTCAAATCTGACCACAAGCACAAGAGCATTATATAAACTACCATTACAAGTCTAATTCACAAGAATATATACAATCCATCATTAAATAGACATAATTCACAAGTCTAATTCGTTCCACAAGTCCAAACCGTCCCACAAGATAAGACCAATGTCAAATTCCATACACATTGTTATCAACGCCTAGAGCTAGCCTTTCAGTCTCTCGATATGTTGGTATTGAGGATTTCTACCTAAGTCAGAATCTCGATCATGGTAGGTGTCTTTGACGTGTATAATCTGGTCCAATATGAAGTTGCAAAGGTCGCCGACGAGCTCTAAAAGTTAGTCATCCTTGTATGGGTCTCTTTTCATTTCTTTCTCTTCTTTCCACTACAAGAGAACAAGTTTGGGTTTAGTATTTCATATCATGTGCGAAATTTTTATACTATGGGTGAAGAGGTTCAAACTTACCCTTAAGGGGTGTCTCCTGTAGGCACCGGTGTTACTCATCATAGAACATACATAGTATCCACAATATACACTCCCAGGCTTATGCTTGGGGCACTGTGTGTTTTGCATATGAAAATGTTAAGTAATGCTTTTGACAGTCATATAATGGAGTACTAAAGTAAGTTACACTTACCGCATATAGTGTTTTTATAGTCAGCCTTTCCTTCCTTACTGGATCATGCCTTCTGTGATGTTCATTGATATAGAACCTAAATGTCCTATTTGAATTATTTTAGCAAATGCAACTTGTTAGTATCCAAAAGTGAACGTTACAAGTATGTATACAAACATATAAGCTAATAAAGATTGTCGATATGTATACGTCTTGAGAATCGATATGAAGTCTTTGTATGTCACCGGGTCCTAATCTATTGAATCAAAGACCCATGCCATGCTCCTCCCAACATATCCCTCTTCTGAGTCCTCATCATCGTCATCCTCTTCTTTTTCTTCGCCTTCAGCGGCCTCTCCTGCTCTTCCTTCTGCTCCTCCTTCCTCATCGTCACACTGTTCCTGAGTAAGCATCACTTCTAGATCTTTTTCTAACTCGTTATCGAAATACTCCTGAGTAAGCTAGTCTTCTAGAGCTTGCTCTTCATAGGTTGGCTGCTCATCATGCCTAGGGCATCGGGCTGCACTGTCTGCTATCCGCGATATTATTTCATGCTTTGTTCTAATAGATGCAAGAAAGTATGCTTTAGGTACGCGAGAAAGTATAAGAAATCAAAAAGGTCTATAAAACAAATTAATCCTATAAAACAACAATATATCAAAAAATGAGTAGTAGCAGTAGTAGAGGGTTTAGAAACATGTCACTCATTATTTGATCATGAACTTAGAGCATCAAGGCATCATAACACAAAATAGAGGAGAAGGTAACGTAGGGGCGGCTGATAATGATGCCAAATTTCTCATAAGTTCTTGATCATCAGCTCATATTCCATATAATGTATGGACTTAGACAATTTCATCATCGACAAAATAAAGGAGAGGAGAGGAGAGGGAAGATTTGGCAAAAAAAGCAACAGCTGCTTAACAAACATAGAGAGGAAAATGTGTCAAAAAGCAGCTATTGCTTCCCAAACATAGAGGATAGGAAAGGTGACAAAAAAAGGAATAGCTACTTATAAGTAGGGGGCCATTCGATCATCATATGAGCTACCTCAGCATAAAAGGGTTCACATCATTGCATATGCCACTGCCTCAGCACTTATTATAAAAGTTTAAAAAGTTCATCATTGCATATGCCACAAAGAACGAGTCAATAGTACAGAAAACTTAATGGAGGTGGGCAAAAAATGGTTAACCGAGGTGGATAGCCCCATTAGTAGAGTAGTAGTAGAGGAGTACAGATAGTAGGAGAAGAGGAAGGTAGCCAAGTAAATGCCTTCGTCGTTGAAGGGCTAAGTCCTTCGACCATTTCAAATCGATCCACTAGTATAGAGCCAGCAAAAGAGAGGAGTGTATAGGAGCAGTAGGCAGCAAGGCACATATCTAGTGAAATAGAGAAGTAGGAGCCATAGAAGAGAGAAGAGAGTATATAGTAGAGCACCACAAATCCATACAGCGAGTTCAGAAGCTGCATAAGCCCACATAAGAGCAGAAGTGCACAGTAAGAGAGAAGCACAACAGCAGCCAGCAGGAGCCATAGAAGATAGAAGAGAGTAGATAGTAGAGCACCAGCAGCATGAGGCAAAATTCAGTTAAGAGTAGTACCTAATATCCAGTGACAGAGCAACAGATAGAAAGGTAGTAGTAGTATAGATGCATCATATAGGCATCATATAGCCAGCCAACACCATATCAGATTTTTGGGGAAAAATGGCAGCAGTACATGAGTAGTAGTAGTAGCAGTATAGGAGTAGTTCAGTTTTAGGAGAGTAACCAATACATGAATTCAAGTAACCAACATGTGCATCTTAGTAAGTGGGAATATGCTCATGTGCATGAAACCTTGGAACAAACTGAAATAGAACTAATACAAATCATCTCAATATAGATAGTCTAGACATGTCAGCTATAGTATCTCGCATTTCTCACCAATATTAAGTTGTGAGGACCCCATATCAAACAATAGATGCATTCTTGGGAAGAAAAAAGACAACATATCCTATGGTGACACCAAATCTAGATATCAGAGCACCAGACTCTAAATTTGGGTCATGTTAAATTTGTGAATTGATGGGTCTTAAGTACATTTGGAAACAAATATAAAATCATGAGAGAAGCAATTAGGTCAATAAGATAAGATCTGCAAGTGTAGTAAGGGCTAGCTGAAAAAGGCTATTCAGATCAAAATAGGCTCTAAAAGTCAATAGACCAAAATGGGTAACCATAAACCACACTAGAAGTGAATTTCAAACACCTTATAAACTAAATCCATACCTCATAAATAAGGTATATATAGTTCACATAAATGCCACCACGCTGTGAATATCATGATAGTAAGATTTCTACCATGAATCAACTGAAAACATCATGTTTATTACTTGTGGCGACACCAACAGATGCACCAGCCATACATGACACAATACCACAGATCCCAAATAAACCAACAAAGCATCCAAAAACATAATAGCAAACAAGTTGGAGCAACTGAGTAAGTAATAAATAGGATCCATGAAATAAGTTCAGCCGAGTTTCAAGGGACAGCTTCACATGACCCTTCCAGTTTCAACACTAATGACCAGTACATGATAAGATTATTCCAACCGGCTAGGACACAGGAGATAACATGAATGCAAATGCCAAATTCAGTTAAGGGATCAAACTAAATTCTCACAAAAATAACGAAAAAGTGGCAAATGCTCAGTTTTCTAAATCGCATCACAGGCAGTGGCATATGCTCACAAAGGTAGAGTGCATCACAAGCAGCATACAACATCACATGCAGCATATAGAGCATCACAGGCAGCATATAGAGCATCATCATATACAGCATCACAGGCAGTATATAGAGCATCACAAGCACCTCGGTGGCAGATGGCAATGCCGGGGAAGACAGAGCCAGAGAAGATGGAGTTGGCCACGGACGAGGATGCGCACGAGGGGGAGCTGGGGAAGATAGAGGGGCGCCGGTGGAGGTGCACCGGGGGAGGAGCGGCAACGTCGGTGGAGGACCGCAGACACCGGGCAGCATGAGCAGCTTGGCCGCCCGCCGGTCGAGGTGCGCTCATGCCAAACCCTAACGGGCACCGTACCGGGCTAGGCCGCTAGCTGGGGGAGGGAGCGAGGATGGTAGGGGAGGAGTGTGGACGCCGGAGATCTCGGGCACCGGGGCGCTCGCCGGGGAAGGGAGCACATCGGGGTCGCTCGCCGTAGAGCGCGGACGTCAGGGAGCCTGGTGGCAGGGAGGACTTGGGAGATGGGGTGGGGGGCCCAATGGCTCAAACCCTAGTAGCGTCGAGGCGGCTTCTTAGTGGACTACGTTTGTGCCAGAGAGGTCATGGAGGAGGTGGCAGCGGCGGTGGATTTTGGCAGCCTGCCGGCGTCAGAGAGAGTGAAATACGCCCAAGAATTAGCCAATTTGAGCCATCCCGCGCGCTCCAGTATATATATGGCCAGTGATGATAGGGGAGCTGAGATTATAAGCCGCCCCTACATATCGATTTGTAGAGGTGGTTCGGAACAAGCCGCCCT